TGCCTATCCTATTTCCCCACCCCACAAAACTCTATAACCACCGTTTTTGCAGCACGAAAGGCCGGGACTAGGGGTTAATGAGTGGGGCTACATAAGCTACTTTTGCCTAGAGTACTTAATAAGTTACTCAAAAAACTTCTTTCTTCACTGGAATAAAAGTCTTAAAACAAATTTGAATCACAGTGTAAAAACATAGCGTAGTAACTTAGAATACGTAGGAGACGAAGCGCGCTGCGGAAACTACAAACTCTTTCCCGTAGGAGATACATAAAGGCAGCGCCCTACTGTGCCCTACTGAAGTATCAATAAAGTTGCATTACATGAATTATGCTCCAATAAGTTGTTTTTTTTTCACGGATAAAGAGAAGAACCACTGTTTTAGGCAGGACACAGCGATAATTTGCGCGTGAATTTGCTTGGAACCAAAAAATTGCACAGAATCTACCCCAGTCCGTCCATTCAGAATTATCCATTTTTAACGTCAAGACAAAGGAAGGATAACTGATTACTAGTCTGGATCCAATAACTGAGACAAATGCCTATGTGTACTTCAAAAAAATCTGGAACTCAAAGAAGAATTAAGGATCTACCACGGCTGCCCCTAGCCCGCTGTATGTGAATGGCTTACTGTTACATCCAGCTGAACAGGTTCGAAATTCTCCACGGCCTTTCTCCAGCAAAATTCCTATTCGACCTACATATGACTGTGTCGCTCTTACGAAAGCTTTTCCCCCTTTCTCTGAACCGCGTGCCCGTGTCACCCTCCCTGTTGACCTTTTGTTTCCAATCGAATGCACACTGGTGCCAAAACCAGCCCCTGACCAAGCGGTACTTGAAGACTGTCCCCATTTGGCTTCCTTGCTTTCGAAGCACTTCTTCCCACAGTGTTGCCGGTCCCCGCTGCCTCAAGATACAATTGTTTCTAATAGTAAAGATCAAGACCCTTGAAGTGACCTCGTGGCGGAAAGGCAGCTATCCGCTTCCTGCCCTTCTTGACCACGTTAGCCACTAAAACCACCACCCCCTTGCCGGCGCAGTATTGCCTCAATACACGGAACACCCCCCTCGCGCTGGCGTTTCAGACCAATCCTGATGCCACATGAATTGCCTTCTGAAATCATATAAAAGCAGAGCCATGTCCCTTCTCCCACTGGCTTACACACGTCCTCCCAAGATAGGTTTCGCCTGTGTGACGATAGGACTTGTGTTGTTCCCTTTTATAGAGTCAGGCAATTCGGCCGACTCCGGCGGTTCTTGACTGTATGTATCCATTGTTGAGGTTCATACTTTGTCTATCCTTCACTATTTTGCTTAATAGTACCGTACTACCTTGTTAATTGTTATCATTGTGCTTGACTGCTGGATACAGCATCAGAGAAGCCAAGAAAGGCGAAACACTTACATTTCAAAAAGAAATTCAGTATATCATTTCAGTCGTGTGTGCTTTCAGTGATTCAGGCTGGGCACTTGTCGAAATTGAGTAACATGACACTAATATGCCATTGAAAGTATTAGGACAAGCAAAATCATAAGCAGAATAGTCCTTGTTGCTCAACTTACAGTGCGGATTTTCAGCAAGTGAGGCTTGTCTTTTCAGCAAACTTCCCTGAAACAGATGCAGAAATTGAACAATTATTTTTGTTATGTATGCTTACACAGTAACATTTTCAAAGGCCAGACATTTCATTGGTAACCGAAGCCAAAAATACACATGAAAAACAAGCACACAATCCGTCAAACATTAAGTACTTTAAGTCCACAAATATGGTGCGTTAAAGGTCTCAGAAGATTCCTTAGCTACCCGTGCAAGTAAGTCTTTTTGGAATTTTCAGTTTAGTGCAGCGAGTCCATATCTGCTGCCTACAGTTCGTTCGATGAGCACTTGTTGCCAGCTGGAAAAATAACGAGCGCACCATTTCGTTTTCTTCGAATTCATGGAGCCTGACTTCTGGCAAGCAGGTAAATTTGCATCTTGGAGAAAAGCACAGCGGGAATGGTCAGCGGCTGTCTGTTAGGACCGTCATCAGTGCGCACTTTCTAGCGAGCAACACTGACTTACCGTCCTTGGCATACCAGTTCAGTTCGCATAAATGGCACCAAGTCTATTGGTGTAATAGGCAGATAATATTGCCGGAAAGAACAAGGGAGACTGGGGATGGCCATTTCCGGCTTATTAGCCGTCGTCAGCCGGTCACAGCCAGGCCCAAGTGGCGTCCTACCCGAGCGTCAAACAGAACGGCATAGATAAGTTCTGTTAACGGTTAGATTAACGTTCATTAACAAGTGTCTGTTGGTGCAAATCTATAGGCATTGCCTTCCACGGGCGCCCTAATATGAACAAGAATCTGTTGGCCGCGAATGGTCACAAACTGTGGCGAGAGAATGGGACAAGGGAGATTCCCAGTCCCGCCTAGAACCAACTGGTCCTGAGAGAACCAGGTGCTAACGAATACTCACCTGTATCTCCTTGGGCCTCATCTAAGTTATAGGAAATAGTATTTGCCTACTGCCCAAAGTGTTTCTCTTAATAACGACAGACGGTTTACAAAGCACAAGGCAAGAAGTCGGACTGTTTTTACCTAACAGTTAAGTACCGCGGAAAAGCACTCAGTTGAGTATATGCATTTATTGACCGAAATACAATACGATCTATTTGGGAAACAGCAAGCAACCAGTGTGCAGTCCATCCTGATACAAAATAAGCTCAGTTGACCTAATTTTGAAAACCTGGCGGCCTCTGTGGGATTCAAACTTATACAGCAGGGAAGGCTTTTGTGCAGCCAATGCTCTACCATTGAGCTACGAGACTCACCGTGAACCGTGAATTTAATCATACTTCTGTCGATTTACCCGCCCAACCTACTGCTCACATGGAATCCACCATTACAGATACAGCAAGCTGACTGACTGACTGTCCAGGCAGGATTTCCTAAGCAATCATCTAGAATCCATCAGAATGAATACTAGGCTAAATTAATTATCAGGGAAGTTTGGCAGCTTTTAATAATTCAGTTGACCCAATTGTGAAAAACTCACAGTGAGCCTCGTAGCTCAGTGGTAGAGCGTTGGTTGTGCAAAATCCTTTCCTACTGTGTGAGGCTTCGACTTTCATCGAGGCCGCGAGCTTTTCACAATTGGGTCAACTGAATTATTCAAATCTGCCCAAACCTCCTAATAACCAAAAAATAAGTTGAAAAAATATACATGACCTAAATTATGGACGCAGACACTAATACAGGGAAGCCGTCTACACTATAGCCCTGAACTTATTGAATTCGCTTGCAAGCAGTCGAATCAGAAAAATAAATGTTGATGTTTCGAAAGATTT